TCTGAATGACCATGGCACAACATCCCTGGTGTCATTTTTTTCTCTTCCATTAGAGATAGTAATATCAAGAGCACAGAATCGTAGACCTCTCAAACCATTTGTAATGTATACAGCCTCTTGCTTTACAAAGGTCTCTTGGCTGCCTCCTACTGTACCAGCCTGCATCAGGCATGACTCATTATCCCATGATTGTACTGAAACTGAGATCACATAACTCCCTGTAGAGAGAATGGACGATAGCTGTGATTCAAAAGCAGGTGTCTTCTAATAACGGTATGTGAGGGGAAGAAGGTATATGTATTATTCTGGGTACTGGTCTTAAACTGTATGGACTCATAAATTATTTCAGGTTAAATTTTTTATAGAATTCAACAGTAGAAATAATGGGAGATCAATTATGCACTGACTTACTTGATGGAAGGATAGTATCCTAGCCTTCTTTGCTTAGGGATGAATTGTTGTGGCTGCTGTCTTTAAGGCTCTTCTTTCCAATTGCCACTCCTTAACCTGTAAGAATGAAACAATCATTTTCTAAAAGTAAAGATGTTAATAAAGAACACGATAAGTAAAACTCACAAAACACAAAATATTATGCAAGTCAAAAAAGCAGAATAAAAATAGAGGACATAGAAAGAAATTAAAGTCTCATTTTTAAAAAGAAAAAGATTGAGAAATGTAGGCCTGCCATTTTAAAATGAGCTAAAATGACAATATAAGATGGAACTAAGAGATCAAAAGGATAAAAAGATTAAATGAGCTTAAAGAAGGCAAACAAGAGACTTAGACATTTAAAATGTAAAATCTCAGTGGATTAAAATAAGTCAGAATAGTAGGAAACAGTATAAAATTCTATCACAGGGGCGCACCTTTGTCTAAAGGGAGAGAGAAAGCCTTGGCCTTGCCCTCCTCTGGTGTTAGCATGTTACCAACTTAAAATACTCCATGACCAGGAGAGTTTTGATCCAGAACGCTGCTACGCCCCTTCCCGCCAGAAGAGGGCAGCCGCACAGAGAGTCGAAGACAGGCTGTACTGATGCAGGAAAGAGGCTTTTTACCTGTCTGAAATGACCTGAAGTGTGCTAGCAGAGACACCTGCTAAATGTTTAAGTCATTCCCAAATACTGCAGAAGCAAATATTTCTCCCTCTCTCAGCTTGGACATTCATTCTTTCTATTTCTTGATCAGGATTCAGTTCGAGGAGTTTTTTTTCCTATTGCTTTAGCAACTATAAATAGAGTCTTTTCTTCTAGTCCTTAAGCCTCTGGATTCATTTGGCTGTGTGTGTGTGCGTGCGTGTTTTCTTATTTTTTAAAGCCTGTTTGAGATCTGGCCAGTTTTCTGAACACATACCCATCACCCACACAACCAACCCATGCGCCGTCCCTTACACCACACATCATCCCCCTCCGCCCATTACATACAACATAAAGCCACCCACTCAGAAACACACATAGGCAATGCACACACACCCATGCACACTTCCCTTTACCTTTATGCCTGTTCTCTCCTGAGTGGCTTCTCCCTGGCAGTCCTTCCTGTCTATCGTTGCAATGCTTCCTGTCTCCACCCCAGATACAGAAGAGAATATTGTACATTTACTGTTTCTTTTCCGGGGAAATTGTTTGAAACGTTTTTCCCCTGTAATCTATAAATAATGAATAATTCCATTAGAAATGTGATGAACAGTGTAATTTTTATGCGGCATTTTTCAAGCTCACTGCCTTGGTGCATTTACTCTCATGACAGCCTTGGGTCGTGGCAAGGGGGAAGATCATTCCGCTCACGTTTCCATGTTTCCTAAAGTGTGTTGGGTTGTCCTAGGTAATGCATACATTATAAACGGAACCCTCTCTTTACTTAAACAGGTCTGAGGAATGCTGCTGTAAACTGACTCCTTTAATGCATAACTCCCCTAAAGCATGTCATGTGATAATTTCCTCTGAGCCTTGCAGTATTTTCAAAACATATTGGCCTGGGAAACCTTATTTTTTCATCAAAACATTACATCTCTAAGCTCAGTGTTCCGTGGAAAATAATTTAGGAAGTAATGTTCTAATGACAGTAGTACATTTTCCTCTGTTCTGCACAGAAACTGTTTCACAGTTGCTCTTACTGAAGAGTTCAAATTTACCTCTGTATATTTCCATCAAATTGCACTTCTTTATATTTTTAGTACAACATATAATAAAAAAAAATCTGTGATAGAACTGGTATATGATGCTGAAGAGTCTCCTGAAACCTCTAAGCAGAACGAATGATTTTCATTATGTTTTATGTGAATAGGAGTTTCTGCAAAAGAGTTCTTAGAGGGACACCTGGCTGACTCAGTCGGTTGAGCATCTGACTCTTGATTTTGGCTCAGGTCATGATCCCACGGTCGTTGGATGGAGCCTCACATGAGGCCCTACTCTGAGCCTGGAGCCTGCTTGGGATATTCCTTGTGTCTCTCTGTCTCTCCTTCTCTCCCTTCTCTCTCTCCCCCTGCCCCTCTTCTCTGCTCATGCACATGTGCTATTTCTCTAAAAGAAAAAAAAAAAATCTTTGAAGATCAATAATCTCTATAAAAGAAAATAGTCTGATTATATCTTCATCAGGTGTTTAGAATATCAGTACTTAATGCATGTTACATGATAAAATTATCATAAATGCATTAATCAAAAACAGTAGAAAGAAGGAGTGAGAAAGAATTCAAAGGGATGCCCTTGGGAAGAGTCACTGCAGACACAGCTCTGGTACAGATAGCCAGTGTGGCAGGAACACCAATGTTCTCCTTTCAGCCTTCCTTTGGGAATCTCCCATCATGATATACCCTGCAAAGCCATCCACTATACTGAGGCCTCTTCGTGATTTTTTGACACTGTTGGGAGGGTTACTAGTGTACAAGATACAGGGTCTGAGTAGCACTATTCTGAGTTAAGTAAGAAGCATCTTCTTTCTAAGATCTGAGCACAAATGTGAAGCTGGTCTTTAAGCCAAAACGCACTACAGGATAGCTTATCTTCTGTTTGCACAAGCTCGTGTGTTTGCCTTCTACACTGAAGAGAGAGCTTTGATCAATGAGTAATTACCTAGGAAATCCAAGATGCCAGGGGACCTCATACCTTGTCTCTGTCTAGTGGATGCTTCTTTCTTCCAAGTCACCACCTGCTTGCACTCACTCCTCAGGACCTCCTAGCTTTTGTGCTGACAGCATCTTCCTTTATAACAGGAATCAGAGAGTCAGAGACAGTGATGTGTTGAGCACAAATTTCAGCAACTACCTTAGGATACTTTGGAGGGTCAGGGCACACTTTACCAGAGCACATAGTCAAACTTATTTAGTAAAAACTAGGCAATTATTTTATATTCCTTTAGAAGAAAATCACACAAGTGTCTTTCATAGTCTCCACTGTCTTTTTAGCACTAAGCACTCTAGTAGGCAATATGAGTTTTTAAAATTTGACGAACATTTAAGGAATTATGTGGTCAAAGGACATAGCAATGAAATGGCAGTCCTGCCATAGGATCCTAGGGTCGTTAGACCATTGACTCCATTACCACCACTCCGGTCCTTGGACCTCTGAGTGTGCATCTCCAGTGAACGTGAGCATACCATTTGCTAGAGCAGGTCTTTGCACTCTACTTAACGTTGTTAGAATGATCTTCCTTGTTCTGAGCAGAAAAGGGGTCCCCAGTGGAAACCAACCATTGGGAAAAGTCCGCTTTGCCTCTATTTCATGTTGTTATCACACGCTTCATGTCTCTCCACTCCCTTGACTTGCTGAGAATAATATTCTTCAGGTTCTGCTATTTATCTATCTTTGATCTCCTTTTTTTTAAAACTCTTTTTAACGTTTTTATTTATTTTTTGAGACCGTGTGAGTTGGGGAAGGGGCAGAGAGAGAGGGAGACACAGAATCCAAAGCAAGCTCCAGGCTCTGAGCTGTCAGCACAGAGCCCGATGCGGGGATCGAACCCATGAACTGTTAGATCATGACCTGAGCCGAAGTCAGACGCTCAACCGACTGAGCCACCCAGGGGCCTCTATGATCTCCTTTATTGACTCCCATCCTTCTGCACCCCCCAGGAATTGGTATTCATTGGGTCTTATTTGGTTTTATTATTCTATTCACATTATTAGTATGTGAGTTACTGCCTTGTGTCCCGATAACCCTAATGATTCCCAGGTCCTCATACAGGTTAATCTGTCTCTTAAATTCTGGATACATATTTCTGTCCACCACTGCATATCCCCACTTAGGTGTTTCCAAGCTCCTCAGGCTTAGCAGGGGCAAAGTGAAGCTTAAATTCTCTACAACACTTTCGTGTAAAGAAGTATCTCTATTTTCCCCTTAGGTAGGCTCCTTCAGAACATGCTAGTGTCTCTATCATGATGCTGTCAGTTAATTGTGACAAATTCCACATACATACAATGAAGCTTTTTCTAGAACACTAGTTTTTTATACAAAATATGTTCATGTCTAGTGGGAAGTAACCTGTACAGTATCTGTCCATTGGATGCTATTTGCCAAGGTTTCACAAGGCTTCCTTTGTTGGGATTCCCCACTTCTCATGAAGTAGATAGAACATGTACACTAGTCACCGCTAATGCATCTTTAAGTTATTGATTACAAATCATGTTCAGCTCTGGGCCTCTAAAATCTTCCCTTAATCCTTCAAAGTGCTACAATAAAATTTGCTTTCCCTGAAGGCTATGAATGTAAAAAAAACAAAACAAAAACGAAAACCCGTGTCACAATCTCATTTGAAAACTCTTTGATTGAGGATAGCCTTTTTCAAGAACATGTTCTTGAAACAAGATGTGCTGTTTTCTACCTGAAGATTAGATTTAGGGGAGAGTCTCTTACAGACAGTTGCTACTTGGTCAAGGCCACCTTGGTGTCTCTCAAAGCAACCAGCTACTTCTCTATGGAGAGTCTTGCCTTGGATATTTCTGGTTTAGAAAACAGTGTGCAAAGGCAGTCGTCTCTTCTCTAATTCTTTCATGGTGCTGCTTTCAGAATAAGATAATCCTGGACCCCATGACGTTCAGCGAGGCCAGGTTCCGGCCGTCCCTAGAGGAGAGGCTGGAGAGCATCATCAGTGGCGCGGCGCTCATGGCAGACTCGTCCTGCACACGTGATGACCGTCGCGAGAGGATCGTGGCCGAGTGCAATGCCGTCCGGCAGGCGCTCCAGGACCTGCTCAGCGAGTACATGAACAACGTAAGTCCCGGGCTCCGGGGCTCCACGTCTGGTGGGTTTGGGCACCGTCTGGTGGCTTTTAGGAAAGCGTGCATAGCAGGAAGAGGGGACACGTGTTTTCTGGAGAGAGTCAGGTGAGACTGAAGAACCACTTAGGGAGGGTAGTGTCCTGAGCTCAGCTCAGGATGCACTGTTAGCAGGGAAGAGAGTGGTGGAAGAGACTTGTTGTGAAAACTTTGGCTGTTTACTTGAATGATTTTGTGGTCATTTTGATGGCTGACCCTGGATTGAGGTAAGATGGCAATCAGTAAAAAATGGATGGTGGACGGAAATGACTGAGGATCTAATGAAGTCCTCCTGTACAAAGGGTGGCTATAGATGCTCATCGTCGTCCTTAGGAGGCATTGATAAGCATAATAGGTTATCAAATGTTTATACAGGCTTGGTTTAGGTGGAAAGGTTCCAGTGGCAATGCAACGTGGAAGAAGTATTGATTCATTGTGCAGCTGGAAGTCCTTATGAGAATCAATCTCTAGGCCTTCAAATGGGTATTAGTGATATCCAGCGATTTTGCAGCATAGGCAGTAGCTGTCCTCTCCTACAGTTGTAAAGTGGGATGGTCGTTACAGACCTGAAAACTATGCAGAGAAGATGAAATCCATATTCTTGGTTGTGAAAGGCACTGAATTATGTTTGTATTGATTTGCTACCTTCATTCAGCTAAGATTATGTGGGTGGTGCCCACTGCTTACAACCATGAATGATCTGGAGTTTCTCCTGTCCTGGACTCCTAGGTTTGAGAGAATTCAGCACAAAGTGGCAAAATGTAGGTACAGTGAGGTCTTGACATCACATGTTGAAGGAATGCTCTGTATGGTGGTCAAGCAGGGAGCAGGGACACTGGAAATCTGCTCATGGCTCTTGAAGCCCATGCTGGGTCCTGTTGGAGCACCATGAGGCAGCACTGAGACAATGCAGTCAACCCTGGCCTCCCTCCAGCCCAATACTTCTTATTACCTGCCCCCAACCCTGCTGACCTGCAGCCTACGGGTAGAGCCAGGAGTCAGCATTGACAGGAACTGTCTGCTCCTGCCAGACTCCAGAGAGCTTTGACCTAGAAAACAAAAAGATGTAGAATGTCCTACAACCTGAAAACCAAAAATCTGTCTCCTTTCCATCAACCTTCAGATTCTTTGATTTGGGAAGACTTGCCCCTTTCCAGCACACAAAGAATAAGGTATGGATGTCTAATGTGGATGCTTATGAGGATTTCTCCATATGACAATGGATGGCCAATACTTTCTGCGACTTTGGTTTATGGGTGCTACGCTGAGTAAAGCTAGAAATATTGACTGCCACTGTCTCCTATGCTGAGTGAATTTTTTGAATAGTGGATTTAACAAGAAAGAATGCTTATAGAATCTGGGACTCTATGTTTGTTGTTTTTAACAGAATAGTGGTAGGTTACTTACTTGCATATGGAATTTGGTTTATAGTAAGGCATACTGGTATTTCTATCCATGAAGAATTATTGCCCAAGAAGAAGTAGAAACAGAGATCACAGTGATGCTTAAGATGTCAATATGAATAACTCAGGGGAAAAAAAGTATATTCCTGTGAATAGTAATCACAGAACGTGACTAAACGAGAATTGATTGAGAAGTGACATGCAATTTTCAGGTTGGTGTCTAGAATCCTGTGAAGTAGAAGTTTTTTTCTTTCAGTGTAGACTCCTATAGATCAGCAGAGCTATGGATTTTTGTATTTTATTGACTCTAGGTGCTTGTTTTTCTCTTCACAACCTTGTGATACAGGAATGTTTTGTATTTTGTGTTATGAAAACTTGGTTTCTACTTTGATATGGTTACAGATAATACATGGGCGGGTTTAGTGCTTAAATTTCAATGTGTGCAAATTCTCTTCACTTTGAACCATCAGGATCAAAGCCTTGAGCTAAAATACCTCCTATTGACTTTGATGTAAACTGTGTAACTTCACGCTTCTTTGGTGATTTCCAGGTAGAACTGGATGCAGCTGCATCAGCTTTATATATCTCCCCAGTGCTCTCATTTCTACTTTGAAAATACCAATTTATGTTTGGGTATGGCATATAGGACTATAAACCCCACATACACTTCTATGCCTTGACTGGAAAGTCTATTGTATTTAACAGTAACCAGTAAATTAGTGGTGCCTAGGCTGTTGGTTATAAGACACTTCTTTTTAACGTTTGTGAGCTCTGGGAGTAAATGTATTATCAAATTATCACTCTGCAGATTTTCATCTTAATGAGCTAAATAATATCATTAGGATAAAGTATTACATAGAGAAGAAAAGATTTAAAAATGGGCATAACTGAGACTTGAGGATTCTAAAAATGTCCTGATCTTTCACTGATGAACATTCAACTTGTGAAGCTCACCTGTAGGCAAAGCTGTTCTAGAATCTCAGAAATGCCGAGCCATATCCAGTGCAGGGAGATGGAGACTGGCAGGGAGAGCTGTGTACTAAGTGATTAGGGGAAGGTGTCTGCATGGGCCATGTGCCATGGGTTCCATGGAGCTCAGGAGCTAGCATTGTGCGTTAGCTATTTTCACAAAGGTATATACAAATTGGTGTGTGTGTGTGTGTGTGTGTGTATGATTTGAAGATGTAACAAAAATCAGGCACTTCAGAGAAACTGGTAAGAGAAAAAAGCACTGGGTAAACAGATGCGTGTGGCAAAAATTATGGTCACAGAGTATGGCTGTGATAGAAAATAAAGCCCTGCGTCGCCTTGTTTTGTCAAGTTGGTGATGTAAGCCCAAATGAGAAGGTTCTTTAAAGAATCCTCCTTTAAATAGAATGTATTTGTCCATATTTGAAGACTGATAATGACTCTTTCTCCAAAAGATGTGTGGCCTTTGGATGAGTGCCATCAGAGTGGTGCTTGGAGTATTACGCTGAGTACTATAAATAGTGCCAAATTATAATGAAGACATAAACTTTTCTCTGTAACTTACAATTTTAGACAGTTTTTTTTTCCTGTGGCAGTAAATTTTTTTCATTAAAAAATCTTAAAAGTGGTCCTAAGATAGGCAACAATTAGACATGGTATTTTATTGATAAGGATTTTATGGTGGGTTCAAATATTATATCCATTCAACAAATGTGTTTTGGCTACTTTGGGCCAGGCACTGTTCTAAGTTCCTGGCTTATAGAAGGGAATAAAATAGACAAAATTCTCTGTTCTCTACCCTCTAGTTGGGGGAGACAATAATTTGCACCAAGGCCCTCTCAGATGATGACAAGTGACACAGGAGAATGTAAAACAGACAGAGAGCATGGGGTGTGGCTGTAAATAAGGATGGCCTGGAAAGTGTTCATTGAGCAGATACTTTTGTTCGAAGACCTTTTGGAGGTGAGGGAGCAAAGAGCACTTGAGGTGAAAGTAACAGCAAGATTAAGCACCTTGGGAGCAGGTGCCAAGGAACCTTCATGGGCCCACTATCATGGCTGTTAGGAATGAGTGGGGCCAGCAGAAAGCGGTTCTGCAAGGTTACAATGTGTCTGACTACCCAGGGCTTGTGCTGCGTTCCATGGAATTTGACTTTCACTTTAATGGAATGGGAGTTCATTTGGAGAGTGTTGGGAAGAAATGTGTCTGTTTTATGAACACAAAATGGACATCGATCCGTGTGAATGGCCGTTGCGGCTCTAACAGCCACCCTGTGTGGTATCTTTAGTTGGTATGTTCATCTGGCTTTGCTTGCACAGAAAATTCCGATTTTCTCAGGTGTAACCATTTGTAAAGAGCTCACTTTGCCATGCCTGGATACTTTGCTAGACAGATTGCATTTGGAAAGGGAGCGAAGTAGAAAAATTTTGTTTCAAAGTTGTATCACCAAAAATATCCAACTACTCACATTCTTATAAAAGACTAGCAAAGTATAGTAGTCTCACTACTAAACCTAAGTGCGGAACAATAGAGAGATGTGTTAAACCATTACTTATTTGTGCACCATTTGCTGGTAGGTTTCGGTGAGAATATGTGATAATCATATGTGCCTGGACTTTGTGTGTTGTGGTGCTGTGTGGTCTGGTTCAGTTTGACATGCATGGACACCCTGTGTTGCTTTAAATTGTTTTTAAGACTAATGCCGAACTATCATTTTTTTAAACCATCAAAGTTTAATTGCATAATGATGGCAGAGAATCAGGTGGCATAAAGTAATGACTTGTCTCTGCTCTGTTAAAATGTGTCAGGTTATTTTTTAATTGTATTTTTATAAGTAGTTAAAATGATATATTTTTACCAAATACTTGAATCCAACTTTTTTCAAACCTCCCAAGGTACCTAAGTGGATCCCTGGGGATAATTTGTAAACCACTAATGTAATGCACATGTTAAAAGCTGATGTGGGAGTGTATATACATCTTACAAGTGTCTGAAGAATCATTGTCTTAGCCGTTGCCAAAGAGTGGAATTTATTGTAAAGAGGGTTCCCAGTGGGTCCAGTTTGTGAGGGGTGAAGTCTGAAATGAGGTCTGAAAAGTTCATGCTCCACCCAAACTAGGTTCTATACCATACCAAGGCTCCAGAATTCAAAAGTATATTAGTAACACGTGAAGTGATATCCAGAGTGAAGGGAACTCTGAAAATAGTGAGCTTGTATGCTGTTTTGTTGTCGTTTGTTTTCTAATGATGCAGATGCAAGAGAAATGTATGTTTATTGTAGATGATAAAAAAGAAAAAAAAATTAAGCTGCCACCCCTAAATATAATCATTGTGAGCAATTTTGCATATGTCTTTCCAATGTTTTTAAACTTCAATAGTGACACATTTGTTCACACACGGAGAAACACATAGGCATATTATACCTTGAGTTAAAAAAAATAGAGTCGTTGTGTATGGTATTTTATAATCTATTTTCTTAATGTTTTGTGAATATGTTACCATATCAGTAAACATTCTCTAGCCTTAGGTTTACTAGCTGCTTAGCATTTTATTATATAAATATGTAATAATTCATTGTGAAGCA